TTTTATCTGTTTAGAAGCTTCAAGCTTCTTTCACAAGTACTGTCCCAGCGGTCAGTGCATGGTACCACTCGCGGTGCTCTGTGTTGTATTTTATCTGTTTGTAAACTTCAAGCTTTCACAAGTTTAGGCCCAGCGGTCACGCGCAGACTGTCAGTGGTACCACTCGCGGTGCTCGGTGTTGTCGAGCCAGTGCTCGTCGGTGTAGAAGCGTCGCAGCAGGTCGCCGAACGTGCTGTTGATGCGGTAGACGTCGCGCGGCGTCATGTTCTCCGGGTCAACGCCGCGCGGCACGACGTCGCCGCGGAAGTTCGCCGTCACCCACATGTGGTACGCGTACGTCTCGCTGAGGTCTACGAAGCCGCGGAAGATGCTGCCGCTCGTGTCGTGCCAGATGCCGCGCTCGACGTGCGCCAGGGGGCGCCGGCCGCGCGCGTCATCCTCGCTCAGCAGCTGCGTCGGCACGAACGCCGAGTTGTGCAGCCAGCTGTTGCTGCGGTAGTCGTGGTAACCGTCGCGCCAGCGCGCGAGGAAGGTGGCGTTGCGAGCGGCGAGGATGGCGCCTGCGTTGACGACGCCTCGCGTGTGCTCGACGCGGCCCGTCTCGACCCCGAGCACGCACTCGTGCTGCCGCCGCAGCGCGTCGAACGACTTCAGCACGACGACGTCGAAGTCGAGGTAGATTCCGCCGTGCGCGCGCACGATGTCGATGCGAGCGACGTCGCTGCGGTGCGCCGGGTGCGCGATGGCGCGTCCGTACACGCTCTCCACCTCGGCGTGGTACTCGTACTCCATCGGTACAATGCGCAGTAGTTCATCCCACCATCGGCCGCGCGGACGCTGGTTACCGTGCAGCACGACGCGTGCGGGGCGCAGCATCGTGTAGGCGCTGATGGGGCCGATCATGCGGTAGAGGTTCATCGGCCGGTGCTGCCAGCGGTCGTGCCGGTGGTCGGCGAACCAGACGTAGTGCAGCACGTTGGGGATGCGCGCTGGCTTGCCGCTGTGCCGTGGCTGCAGGCCCGTCAGCTCGGCGGGCGGGAACTTGGTGCGGTAGCGACGGCGCACGGAGTTCGTGAACGTGCCGATGTCACCTTCCGTAATGCCTGCGTGTGCACGAATTAGAAGTCGTGTGGTTAGTATATCTCCGTTTCCGTAACCCTGAGGCCATTATATATATATATATAGAGATAGATAAAAAATTACATCATATTAGTTTCTCAGATAATATAAATATTTTTACCATTACATTTGCTGTTGTTTAGAACATCGACCTGCACTCTCTGACGGGATGGATACCTGAGCGCGTTGGCATCCGAGTTAACGACAAGGACTTTAATAAAGACAAGCTCTTCAAGAAAATATTAAAAAAGTACGTGCCGATTGTTTGTGAAGACCGGCATTCATTTCCAACAAGTGATATCGTTTATATCCCTCTACACCTTCTCCATTGTCTATCTATTGCATTTTCGTCTTCCTCGCGTGTGGTCCCAGTAGTTCAGAATTGTATGGTTCAGATTCATATGGTTATAACCTTTCCAACGAGCATGACAACTTTTAATCTATCTTCTAATATAATTCTGAATCTACTATACTCTTCATAATCTAATTTGTGTGAATCTAAAACTATCTGAAACTGTCGGAATGCTTTCTTTTCTGTTGCAATTGTGACAACTTGGCTTGTGATTGGCAAAGTCCAGGTTGCTAAATAATACATGTTAACACATTGGATTATTAGATAATATTTACTCGTATGTACATAATTTTAGGTAAGCAGATTACAGAAATTCATCTAGTAATTATTATAGGTGCTATAATTTTCCTAGAAGCTTCTTAAACTGGTGAATGATTCACCCAAGGGTGAATGAAACTTACCAAATCACAAGGAAATTTAGTCGCGGGTGAATGAAATTTTGTGATATAAAGACTCGAGGGTGAATAACACTGAAATGGTTTAAGAAGCACTGGGACTTTAGGACCATTAAACGCAGTCATGGTTTGCATCTAACATGTTGCAGGTTCCACAATGGAGACGTTCTCATCACGTTTGCATCTAACATGTTGCAGGTTCCAGAATGGAGATGTTCTTGTTACGTTTGCATCTAACATGTTGCAGGTTCCACAATGGAGACGTCCTTATCACGTTTGCATCTAACATGTTGCAGGTTCCAGAATGGAGATGTTCTTGTTACGTTTGCATCTAACATGTTGCAGGTTCCACAATGGAGACGTCCTTATCACATTTGCATCTAACATGTTGCAGGTTCCACAATGGAGATGTTCTCATCACGTTTGCATCTAACATGTTGCAGGTTCCACAATGGAGATGATCTTATCACGTTTGCATCTAACATGTTGCAGGTTCCACAATGGAGATGTTCTTATCACGTTTGCATCTAACATGTTGCAGGTTCCACAATGGAGACGTCCTTATCACATTTGCATCTAACATGTTGCAGGTTCCACAATGGAGATGTTCTCATCAGGGTTTGCATCTACCATGTTGCAGGTTCCACAATGGAGATGATCTTATCACGTTTGCATCTAA